AAAACCAACTATCGCTACTTCATTGGAAACATTTAAACTTTAATGATAACACAAATAATCTTTTTGAAAATTTTTTTAAAACATTATTTTCGGTTTACGATGCTAACTTTCCTAATCTTACTCATACATCAAAAAATTAAAGACATAAATAATCCTTGGGTTTCAACCAAGGGTTTCAAAAAATCATCAAAAACTAAGCTAAAGTTATATATAAAGTACCTAAAAACAAAAACTCCTGCAAGCGAAAAAATATACAAAGACTATAAAACCTTATTTGAAAAAATCCGGAAAAGCTTAAAAAAACTACTACTTAAACTTGATTAATAAATAAAAATGACATAAAACGCCAAATACTAAAAGAAAACAAAGAACATACTCAAGTTTTTTGCCACACATGCTTAAAATCGATAACAACATTTTATACGATCCACAAATTGTAGCTCATGAGTTTAATAAATTTTTTATTGAAATTGGTCCAATCAGATATCAGATAAAATTTCAATTACAAAAACTTCTTTTAATGATTTTTTAACACCTATTGATAAATTCGCTCTGATGAACTATCGTCCGTATTATCCTTTAAAAAGTTTGAGAAAGCTTTTAAAACCTTAAAAAAAATAAAACAACTGGACCTGATGAAATAAACGGAAATATAGTTATAGATTGCTATGAACAAATTAAGAATATTCTTTTCAAAGTCTTGAAAGCATCCATCGAGCAAGGAATTTTCCCTGAGCGCTTAAAAATAGCTAAAAAATTAATCCAATTCATAATGAAGGCGACAGATCCAATATTAATAATTGTCGCCCCATCCCTATCCTACCTATATTCTCTAAAATCCTAGAAAGAATTATGTCTAACAGAGTTAATAATTATCTTAATAACAATAACCTACTATACAACAATCAATTTGGTTTCAAAAAAGATAGTTCAACTGAGCATGCCATTATTCAATTTGTACGCAACATCTCCAAATCATTTGAAAAAGCTCAATATACATTAGGTATTTTTATAGACCTATCAAAAGCATTTAATACGGTTGACCATAATATTTTAATACAAAAAATGAAATATTACGGTTTAAACAATAGTGCTTAACCTTATTTTATAAGCTATTTAACAAATCGTAAGCAAGTAGTCTATAGTAATAATGGCGTTCAAAGTGGATCCTTAAATATAATCTGTGGTATTCCACAAGGTTCTATTCTTGGACTGCTGCTATTTCTTATCTATATCAATGATCTAAACAAAGCCTCTAACCCGATGAGTATTATTTATGCAGATGACACTAACTTATTTCAATCCCACACTGATGTTTACAAACTTTTTTCAAAAACTAATAATGAACTTATAAACATTAATAAATGGCTTGAATATAATAAATTAACGTTAAAATTACTAGCTTTAAAAAAACTAACAAGACTAAATGGATTCTTTCTCATTCCCTCTCAAAAAAACGTTATTTACCAGATATTATGCCTGAAATTTATATTGATGAAATTTTAATAAAAAGAGATAGGTGTTTATCTTGATGAAAATATTACTTGAAAAAACCATATTAATCATATAAGCACCAAGGTATCTTATATTGGCAAGGTAAAATATTGGCATTTTGTATAAATCCCGATCTTACTTAAACAAAAAAAGACTTATACAGCTCTATTACTCATTCATACACAGCTATATAAACTACGCAAATATTCCATTGGGTAGTACCGAAAAAAGTAAACTACAACGTCTATATCGCCAACAGAAACTTGCGATTCGCGTAATTAACTATGTGGATCGCTCTGCACATTCAAAGCCTTTCTTTGATGAAATGAAAATACTTTATGTCTACAAACTTAAAGTCTTTAATGTTATGTTTAGCTCATATGTGGAAAAACAATTTATCCCTACCTGTTTTTAACGACCTTTTTACGTTAAAACTTACTTATAAGTACTCACTAAGAAACAACGATTCGCTAAACGAACCATCTTGTAGAATAAATTTTAATATGTTTTGTATTAATTATCGACCACCTTACCTTTGCAATAAAATAATTCTCCCTAATTTTGATCCTTTTATCCGTTTTTCTATTTTTAAAACTGTATTAAAAAATTTTATTCTTGCTATAGATGACATTTAAAGTTACTATTAATTTGAAATATAAACTTGATTTATGAGATTTATAGAAATATTTATATTAATAAAATGTTAAACACCCGGACTAATGATACGGGTTCAAATCCTGCCACCGCCAACTCAGTACTTCGGTACGCAATAATGTTGGTCAATAACGGATGCTACTTTGGATTAGTCTTAATGGCTATTTGTGGCTGATCTTATGCTAAGCCAACAATATCTTTGGATATAAAAACATTGTATAAAAAAATATAGCATGAAAACTCAAATAAATAAAATAATAAATAAAAAATAAATGAATAATAGATTTATTTTCTTTGAACTCCAATAGTTACTTTTAGCTACTATTCTAATTCTATCTATATATTATTTATATAATATTAGTTTAACATCTAATTAAGAAATATATTCTTTATGTAAATATAAAAAAACCGCTCTAAACAAGAATCATTTTTTTTTTATTATTAGTGTTTGTACAACTTAATTCTGATAAAAATCTAATTAACTTAATCTAATTAACTTAAAGGGTATAGAAAAATTATTTGTACACGCAATATCAAAATATTTTATTAATTTTATTTATTTTTAGATTCAGTTTTATTCTTGGGTACTTCTACAGACGTACTAGACTTACCCTAGATCCGTCCCTAGTTTATATTAAATTTGTATATATAAAATAAAAATTTACGTTCTTATTTTAATGAATAAATTATTTCGAATCGCTGCGTTTCAAGGTCTTCAAAACTATAATATTTTATGCTGTTTTTGCGGCAAAAATTTTCTAAAATATTTAAATGTAAATAGTTGTGTTTTTGATAAAAATCTGATAAAAATACGGCTAACTAAAACACTTTCCCTATTTGAATGACTAAACAACTAGTAATACAGTTGTCTTGATAAGATATATTTTATATGTTATATTTATCAAAAACAAATTGTAACAAATATCAGCCATCGCATAATAGCATGAAGTAGTTTATAAACTTTCTTTTTATAACCTTGTTAAGTTTGTAGACCTGTAGGCCAGGGTAAGCGAGGTGTACGCTTTATATATATATATTTGTAAAAGGCTTTTACAAATATATATACAGGGCCGCCAAGAGGGGGGGCAATTGAAGTAGTTTGCCCCGGGCATCACAGTCTATGGGGCATCACATGCCTTAAAAAAAAAATTATTGAAATGATAAAAAATTTAGCTGATAACGTATTTAAAGATTAAGCAATTTTTGTGTATTAATTTTTTTCTCCTTTTAAACTTTGTTTGCATTCAAAATAGGATAATTATTACTTTACAAGGTTTTCATTATCCATTTGAACGCACGCGTTTTCATTGGCCTTTTGTTCGCATGATAGAATAAAAAGCGTTAAATTTTTTTTTTTTCTTATTTAACGTTTGTAAAAGCCTGACTTCTAATAGTTTAACTTATTTTTGCTTAAACCTTGCGTCCCTATGGATACTTTTGTGCATATGTATGTTTTTGACTCGCCTGCATTTTGTTCCGACTATATTTTGACAAGAAACTTATCTTCAGTGGATATTTTAATTGTAAGTACTGACTTTTTCTCTGCAATTAATAACACCAAAGTATTATTAAGTTTTTAACTCGCTCTCGGTGATGAAGTAAAGATTCTAAATGGCCTTTTGATGGATCTGTATCGAATCCGTCTGTCTTGGGACCTGATTTTGATAGAGGCAACAGAAGTTGCAAAGAACTTGAAATTTGATAAAATAATGTTTACTGTGAAGAGAACGCGAAAAAAGATCATCTCAGATGAAACTGATGGTTACAACCACGAAGAAGCATCAAAAAACTTTGAGTGTAATGTCTTCCATGTTGCACTCGACAATCTGACTAGTCAAATCAGATCAAGATTTAAAGTCATAGAAGAGAAATGTAGCAAGTTTTCCTTCCTTTGGTCTTTACAGAAATCTCAAACAGACCAAGAACTAGGTTTAAAAGCTGAGAATCTGGCTAAACTTTACCCAGAAGACTTATGTAAAAACGAATTTTCTGATGAAGTTCGGCATTTTTTTTCCGTAAGAAGAAATATTCTAGCCAGCGAAAAGCCTGTCGAACTTCTAAATGAAGTTTATGCAAAGAGGCTGCATTCAATATTTCCGCAAGTGTGTGTTTCTCTTAGAATCTTTCTAACATTGCCCGTTTCAACATCTGAAGGAGAAAGATCTTTCAGCAAGTTAGCTATCATCAAAGATTATCTTTGTTCCACAATGGGCCAGGAGCAACTGTGCTACTTGATGATCCTTTCAATCGAATCAGATTTAGCCATTAACGTTAATTATGAAGAAGTTATTTCAAATTTTGCTGCTAAGAAGGCCCGGAAGATGTGTTTGTCAATTAAGAATTGATTTTATCATAGTTTGTTCTTGCAAACCAAAATTAAATGTGATTTTAGGTTTTTTATGAAAGTAAACTATATTAATTTATTTGCTATTTTAAGACCTGAAGTATGATAGGGCATCCATTAAACTTTTGGACCCGGGCATCACAAAAGCTCTGGGCGGGCCTGTATATATATATATATATATATATATATATATATATATATATATATATATATTTCACAATGTTATAATTCACAAAAAATCGCGTTACGTTTTATTAAAAATAGTCCAAAATATACATAAATAATTAGCGCTGATTAATAAATATCAACAAAAACTGTAAACAAAAACAGTAAAAAAAATAAATAATAATAATTAGGTTTTTTTTTTTTTTTTATAACTATAATTAAGTCTTTATAAATAAGATACAGTAGAGTCCTTGTGCCCACCTGTTACAGACCACCTGAAGGTGGTATAACAAACTTTTCAATTCACAAATTCACAAATATTTCTAAAAAATAACAAAGAATATAAAATATTATTCTGTATTGGGGACATAAATATAAACTTTCTACATTACAATTAATATGCTGATACCAAAACTTTTTTTGACGATATGTTTCAACAGTACATATTTCCTATAGTAAACAAACCAACTCTGATAACATTAAATTCAATCACTGCAATAGACATCATATTGACTAATTCGTTTTATGATACTTCATTAAAAGCAGATGTAATCAAAACGGATATATTCGATCACTTTTCGATATACTTTTTCTTGAAAAAATTCAAGAAATAAAAAATAAATAAAAAACTCTAAAATCAAAGTTTTTAAAGGAAAAATCAATAATTTTACTATACAACAGTTTAAAGACTCACTATCGGCAGTGAAGTGGACAGGATGTACCAAGAATGCAACCTTTGGCATACCAACTCCGCTTATAATGAATTTATAGAAATATTCTTAAAGCACTATGATAAGCACTTCCCTATAAAAAAAGCACTTCCCTATAATAAAATATGTCCATGGATTACTAAAGGTATAAAAAAATCTTCAAAAAAAACAAAAAAAAACTTTACATCAAGTATTTAAAAAATAGAAATAAAAAAAATCTAAATACTTACAAACAATACAAAAATTTATTTGAAAAAATTAAAAAAAGTTCGAAGAAAAATTACTACTCAAACCAAATAAAAAAGGCAACTGGTGACATTAAAAAAACATGGAATACTATAAAAGAAATAATTGGGAACAAAAAGTAAAATCGTCATAGAAAATATAGAGCACAGTGAAAAAATTACGATTGCTGAAAAATTCAACGATTTTTTTGTTAACATTGGCCCTAATCTTGCCTCAAAAATTAAATCTTCTAATAATTCATTTAAATCATACCTAAGTGATATCCAGAGCGAACTAAAATACAAAAAACTACTAAGAACTTAATGTTCCTTAAAATTAAATAAAACTCCAGGTATTGATGATATCTGTAGTAGGGTAGTGGCAAATGTCTTTACAACAATATTTAAATTTTTAAATCTTCCATTAAAACAGGAGTTTTACCAGAAAAGTTAAAAATTGCTAAAGTAGTACCAATATTTAAAACAGATGAATCTTACTTACTTAACAACTATAGACCTATCTCGGTACTTCTTACCTTTTCTAAACTTCTTGAAAGAATAATATATAACAGATTGTATGAGTATTTAATCCAAAATAAAATCTTAAATAAAAAGCAATTTGGTTTCCAAAAACAATATTTAACTGAACACGCAATCCTAGATCTAGTTTACAATATAATTGATTCTTTTGATAAAAAACAGTATGTTCTAGGCATCTTTATAGACCTGTCAAAACCGTTTGATACTGTAAATCATAATATCTTACTTAAAAAAAATGAGATGCTCTGGGATAAAAAACATAACCATTGACTGGTTCAAAAACTAAGCAATAGACAACAATGTGTTTTTTCAGATAATTATAAACACTCAAAACTGCAAAGAATTGAGTGAGGTGTCCCCCAAGGTTCCATGATTGGACCTCTTTTGTTTCTTCTATATATTAAAAACCTTACAAAAGCATCGAAAAAACTTGATGTAATTATGTTTGCCAATGACACAAACTTATTTTATTCCTCGAACTCAATCAAGGACCTATATGAATGTATAAACAAAGAGCTTAAAAATTTAAAAATTTAAAAATACATGTTGTTTCATTCCAAAGAACAAAGAAATAATATACCAGCTATTCTTCCCTCGCAAAAAATAGACCATTTAAACATTGATAGAACAGAATCAGCTAAACTTCTTGGGATATTTATTGACAAAATATATCTTGGAGAGCCCATATAAGTACAATGAACACCAAAATTTCAAAAAATATTGGGATACTCTACAAATTTAAACCTATGTTGTTCCAACTTAATCTTAAATCGCTTTGTTTTTCTTACATCCAAAGTTATCTTACGTACGCTAATATTACATGGGCAAGTACACACAAATCCAAATTGACTACTATTTATATAAGTCAAAAACATGCATCAAGATTAATTTATAATAAAGATAAATTCACCTATGCTGAACCCTTACTAAAAACCTTATATGCACTAAATGTTTACCAAATCAACATCTACCTAAATGTACTATTTATGCTTAAATAAAAACTTGGACTAGTCCCATCGCATTTTTTAGATAACTTCTTTCAAGTAAACTCTAATAGATATATAACAAGAGCAACAGGCAACTTCACACTGCCTAAAAGAACAATAAAGTTCTCACGGTTTTCTATTTCCGTTAGGTCTTCTTGGGGCACCTAAATAACAAAAAAAAAAAAAAAAAGAGAATCCAGTTAACTCGGGCCGTGGATAAGTCGGAAAAATTTTCAATTCCCTTTAAATTCTCTATTCATACCGAACGCTTCACTTAACTTAAGTGAAGTGTTCACATTGTTTAAGTTTTTTTTAACTATTTGATGTAAATTTTTTTATTTGCAAATAAGATCAATTTTATTTTTTCAAAAAAAAAAAATCTTTTTTGTTTTTATTCTACGTGCCTCTAAAAGTTCTGTCTTATCAAGAACATCTTGGTCTTTGTAAAAGTTGAGAGGAGGGGGGCATTTGTATACACTCAAAGCATAAATATGTTTTAGTGGCTGTTCAAAAATAACACTCGTTGTGAAAGAGGGTATTAGAAAGTGTCATCAATTATCTTATGGGAAATGGAGTGGTTAGCTACATAGTGGCGTTACACATTTATGCTAATAATACTTATTTGATGCATGCATACATTACTGCTGAAATATAATACATTCTATTAAAATTGATGCCTACCAGTGAGCTTGCAATGAGCTAGTTATAGCATCAAGTTTAGTGTAATTAAAACTCTTTTAGTAGGTTTATTTAAAAATGCGCAACGTCACGTTAACGGAACTATCTTTCTTGTACAAAAAAACATTTAAAGCTGTACTAATGGGTACACGGACAACCGGGTACCCGCCCGTTGGTTACTGCCTGGGCAGCATTATCAAATGACGGGTAACCGTTGTTCATGCAAAAAAACAAAATATTTCAATTTAAAAATTATCAATTCTAACTTTTTTTTTTGTTTTGAAATAAAACAATTTAACAATATGAATTTGATATGTATATTAAGATCTTGACGAAATAGTTTCGATTTATTTATCACTGTTAGAATTTCTGAAAATTGAACAAAAACGTTCGTGAAGTTATTTGAGTTTCTGATTTAGAAACCCACCTTTTATTCTTCACTTTATATATAATGTTTTCTTTTACGTATATCAGAACTCCTCCAACTTGTTTAGTTATATGTCTCTATGACAACATTTATGAAATCTAAAAGATGGAGAGTCAGCAAAGCAAATTATATATAAAATGTCTTCAATTTCTTATTAAAAAGGTATACAGTTTTTCGAAAAAAAAAATTTTGTAAAAAGAAGTTTTTTAAGTGTGCGTCGTAAGTTTATCGTAATAAATAAAATATTATAATAAAATTTCTTTAATTTGTAACCAGTTAAAGTTTTGTAAAAGCTAGTTACTGTTCTCTCTTCTTTTTGCCATAAAAAAAATTGTTTTTAACAGTTACCCGGGCAAGCATTTTTGCGATTTTTGACAGCCTTAAAAACCACCCAACCTCCCTCGGTAAATATGCAATTATCAAAATGGGAATGACGTAGTGGAGCGTAAAATTTTGTGACATAAGTGTATAACGGTTATACATGAAGCTTTAAATCTCAGTAATAAATTTTTTTACAATTTTTTTTTGATAAAAAATTTAAAACTTTTTTTTTCATTATGAAAATGAATAAAAAAAAAATTGTTATGAATTTTTTTTTAAGTACCAAAAATATAATGCAAAAGTTTCATTATTATTATTATTTATATTTTTATTTATTTATTATATTATTATATTTATTATATTATATTATATTTTTTTATCATTTAGTATTGAACTTTTTTGAATATTATTAGTTTTATTGAAATGATTTTTGTGTGTCTTATACGGACAGCAAGTTATTTTTATAATTAACTATATTACAACAATTATATCTAGCTATTTTTCAATGATTGTTTTATTTTTAAGCTGAATTATTGTTTGCCTTAATTTAAAAAAGCTAAATATTTATTTATTTTATTTTATCGCTTTTTTTTTTTAGAGTATGGGCGTGTAGTTTATGCAGATATGTGATTTTTTTGAGAGCGTAATGTTCAAACATGTTCAAATAATAGATAGCGAACATTTTTTCATTTTTAGAACTGTGCAACTGAAGAATAACTGCTTGTCTTTAAATGTCCCGTTTCACCCCAATTACTTACTTGCCACCACCTACTTGTTTAGCACTACTTACTTGCTTATTTAGGGTTTCGTTACTTAAGTTCCAATTTTATGAATTAGTTTATTGTATGAATTTTTTAAAACCATAAGACTTTTGCTAATGAAAACATTGTTTACAAAAATAGTTTTGCCGTATAAAAGAACATGGCTGTGAATCGTTTGAGGAAGTTCTGCATTTTTTGAGAAAACAGCTTTTCATCGTTTAATAATATGGTTCTACAAAGTTTAAGAACAAGGTTCTGCATAAGTTGAGAATATTGGGATTAATTGAAATTTATTTTCGAATTAAGTAGCTACACAGTTGTTTTTTCATTGTCTTATTTCATTTTTTATTGCTGTGCTGTATCGGCTTATAATATTATTTAATATATTCGATATTTTATGATTATTTTTGGAAAATAATAACTTCATCTTTTTTTTTTTCATTCTCTATAGCTTAAGAGCATAAACCAGCTATGTTTATGAACATAGATTTGCTTTGTTTATTGATACAAACTTTTTGTTTTAAAAAAAAGATATTAGTTGTTTATATACGTCGGTCTTTTATTTGTTGAACTCGTGTAGAAAGTCAGAAGCTTTCGATAGATATTAAAAAAAAAAGATTCTTCTTATAATATCTTGTTTAATCTCCCTCGTATAATATGCATTCTTTACGCTAATTTCTTCTGACTGTAAAAATAATTTAAACAAAGTGAAAAGAAAAATTTACAAAATAAAAAAAAAAACTGAATTTTTTTTTAATGAAAAAACATATATATATATATTTTTAGTTTACATGTCGTATAATATAAATTTGGAATCAGCAGATCTTACTTAATCATAAAATAATTGAAATAAAAATGTAATATAAAATAAAACACGAAAAAAGTTAAATCTAAAATAGTTTAGATAATATACGATTAAAATATTATTATCTCAAAAATAATTTTGTATTCAATAAATGTGACGGCTCCAATGGAGTTGCATAACCCCCGAGCAGAATATTTAAGTCCTTTAATATCAATGTAATCGAGAACCTAATTTTTATAAAAATATATTTTTGTATCAGCATTCTTCCTAAAATATTTCTGTATTCGTCACTCTATACTAACCGTTAAAAAAAATGTTTTAACAGTTTTGCACCATGGACTCTCTCACGTGTAAAAAAATAGTTTCACTTAACGCAAAATTTAATTAAATTTGTTATAACATGTAGTTTAGTTAAAATTTTTAAAGTTTTG